GAACCTCACCAGCACGGTCTAAACAATGAATCAAAATATGTGTGAACTACGGCTGCGAGCAATGGTGAGAGGACGAACTACGAGTATGAGCTAGCTGCTGTAGATACCTGTGGGCGATGGGTGAGAGGACAAGGTATCTCAGCCATGCTGCAGGAAACTATATACGTGAATGAAGACAAAGGGAACTGATATGAAAGATCGTGCATGCGAGGCCATGCTCGTTGATGTGTCATAGACCCTGGACATAACCCAATGTCCAACCCATCATGGAAGTAACATAAAATTTGTAGTCGGAGAGAATGATTTGGGACATAGATTCAGTCATCGAGTGTTATGATCATGCACGGTCGTAGGGAATAAGTTGGATTGCGGACTATAAGCCCACGGGGTAAAAGGCCGAACACCGAGATAAATCCCGGTGAGGGTTAAGTGAACCTATGGAGAGGTAGTCGGACGTTGACGCTACTATTAATAGCGTCCCTGACACGCCGCTGTCTGAAAGCGAAGTTGAGGGTAATTCCGATCGCGGGAGAACTCACGTGATCGTACTTAAGATGAGGTTTGAGATTAACTCTATTTGATACACTATCAAAGTGCGCTATCAAAGTCGATATTTAAACTGGGGACCAACTATTCTACTCTCGTAGCTTTATACGGTACTCGCTACCTAAGGGTCGCTAAGTGATAGTTATCCTAGAATAGTATGGTCGAACATGTGGAGAATAAAAGGGGAAAGTATAAAGGAAATGATATAAAAGGATATATGGGAAGTCGGCTAAGTGTGAGGGATATAAAAGCAAAGTGTAAAAGAATCGCGGAGGTAAGCTCTGCGACGGAAGAAAATAGTAAAGTCCAATACTGGGGAATGATCGTCGAGCCCGCAGGAGTTGAACTTGGCATGGTCATAACATCGAGGTAGAGTAATCCTTTGGGGTCTAGAGTCCAATGAGGTTTCTTATCATCTTTAGTGAACTCCAATCCTAGGGCAGAGTCGGTGTCAAGAGGTAGAGCATTTCGAATGTCGGAGTGAAGGGTGTCAAAGTCCAGTATAACTGAAGCACAAAGTATTGGTCCTTCTAGTAAAGTCGCTCATAATGAAGTTGTAAATTGTTCATTAGTGAATATTGGTTGGAAGTTCTGTGGATTTACTTGCGCATAGCCAATATCCCCCTCTTTTGGGTAGACATCCCAGCATTGAGTGATTGAGTCCGGTTTTGCTCTGGGTTTTCCAGGGTGGAAGCAAATGGTCATGTTGAAAGTGTGAAGGAATTCAGACCAGCATACCTGTTGTTGTGTGAGGATCTTTGTTGTAGAGAGATAGTCAGTTCCAGAACCTTTGAGGTAGTGTCGCCAAGCTTTGAAAGCTTCAAAGATTGCCAACAATTCCTTGTTGTGCATATTGTAGTTGAGTTCAGTGGCCTGAAAGGTTCGTGAAAGGAAAGCAACCAGATGAATTTCTCTGTTAGCGTAGATGATTGATAGTATCGCTGCAAGTGCATAGTTAGAGGTGTTGGTCTCTATGATCAGTGCAAGGTTTGGTTCCCAGTGCACAAGAATCGGTGCTGTTGTGAAAGCGAGCTTGAGGTTGTCGAAAGCGAGCTTGAGGTTGTCAAAAGCGAGCTTGAGGTTGTCAAAAGCGAGCTTGAGGTTGTCAAAAGCGAGCTTGAGGTTGTCGAAAGCGAGCTTGAGGTTGTCGAAAGCTTCTTGACATTCTGTAGTCCATAACCAATTGATACCTTTTTGGGTAAGTCGATTCATAGGGTAGACAATATTAGAGTAATTATAAATAAAACAACAATAAAAGTTCACAAAACCTAAGAAGGACTGGATGTCCTTGACCTTCCTTGGTGTAGGCTCCGTGATAGCTTTGATCTTGTCGGCAGCCATTGTGAGACCTTCTGGGGATAAGATGTAACCAAGGTATTCAACCATGTTGACTCCAAATTTGCATTTTGACAGTTTGCAGAATAGCTTGTGCACACAGAGCCGTCATAGGACTTTGCGGACATGCTCGGAGTGTTGCATAGGATTGTTGGAATAGATGAGTATGCTGTCTAGGTAGACAATCACACAGACATCAAGTAGGTCTTTGAAGATATCATTGATGAAATGTTGAAAAGCGGCTGGAGCATTAGTGAGTCCAAAGGGCATCACATGCCATTCAAAAGAGCTGTAATGTGTTTGGAATGTAGTTTTCCACTCATCACCTTCTGCGATATGTACCAGGTGGTACGTGTGTGCTAGGTTGAGTTTAGTGTAGATCTTCGCTTGTTTCAGAGTGTCTAAGAGGTCAGAAATCAAAGGTAATGGATAGCAATCTTTCTTCATGATCTTGTTCAAGCCATGGAAGTCCACACATAGTCATATTGAACTGTCTTTCTCTGGAACAAAGAGTATGGGAGCACCATGTGGGGATGTTGAAGGTCAGATAGTACCAGTGGCAAGAGATTGTTCAAGAAATCCACAAAGAGCATCAAGCTCCTTTGGAGAAAGTGGATAAATCTGTCCAATGTCATGACAACCAAGTACTTACATCATTTTCTTTCTTTTGTTTTACATGCTCTAGTGACCACATGACCACATTCATTACTCATTGTGTTACGATCATGCGCATCGGTCGTACGCATCGCGCGTAGCGCTTCGTACCGACGCAGTCAACCGTACATGATCAAGTCCGTCATCGATGCAACGCACCGATGATATGGATCAGGTAATCTGTTTCCGTGATACTCATCCACCTATCCTCCTCATCCCGTCGTCCCCCCTTCGGACAGGCTATACACCATACCGCCTCCCTCTCCCCATTAGTCCACTGTCTTCCTATCCGCACTCGTTATCTCTACTTCCGATTTGTCGTAACTACTTTAGGATACTTTGTAGCGATACCGGAGATAGCGAACTTAGCATATAAGACTTGCGGTCGTAGGTAGAAGCCTTAGTTTTAATATCGAATTGGTACGACTCCCAAGAATCATATAACACTTGCTCTCTCCACACTTATACCTCGTTCGACCCCGTCGACCTTCAGTCGATACTATCTCGATCTCAAACGAACTTAACACGGACCGCGCAGCGTAGCGGGGATACTGTCAATAACGGTATCGAAGGTCCACTTGATCCGCACGCTCCTAACACATTGTTCATCTGACCACTCACTCTTGTCCTGTCATTAGTTTATTGTTTTTTCCTTGTTCCTCATTCGTTCTTTACTATTCCACTCTCGCGCTCTTGTTCTTTGTCACCTATTGTTCTTTGTTCTTTTTACCCTTGTCCCTTTACCCTGGCTCCTATTGTTTCAGACTCATATATATAGTACAGTAGATAGCTACCAGTTCCCTATCTCAACCTCTTGGTCTTTGGGAACTAGGTTTGTGTTTATATCTTGTTTACACTCAATATTGACTTGGTCTTTGGAAAGTAGTTTGCCCTTGTGATTGGCCCTTCATGCTATCACTATCACTGAAATCATTATCCCTTTCTGCCTTTGTGTGCTGAGCATTACTCACACCTAGGTTTGTGCTTGTGCTTGTGCTTTTGATCACTTCCCTTTGTTGCTTCTGCCTATGTCATAACATCCAATAGGTGGCTCAGCACCTTCTTCAAAATCAATCTTGAGGTCATAAGGGTGATGTTCCAGGAGGACTTCCGAGTCGATCTCATCGAGTACATCAGCAAAGTCGTGATTGTCTTCCGGAATCTTGTTTTTTGATGGTGGGTCATCAGTGTCAGTTTTTAACAATCATGCAGCAACTTCAGAGTGAATGGCATAGAGAACAAGTGGTTCCATACCTGATTGCTTACAAGCATGGTGAAAGGGTACCATGCTTACCAGAGCGATGTCTAATTTGTCATGCTGAAGACACAGCACCATTTGCATGACTAATGGGTAGGAGTAAATGGGTTTGAAGGGAAACTTGTTGGAGAGTGGTTGAGCCTTATATGGGTTCCATTTGATGGGAATTGGTGTTGGATTGATGCAATTCGATGGTTCAAAGGGTACTTCTATGGAGACCACAATGGGGCTCAGGCAAAGGAGAAGACGTGTATAGATAACAAGTGCAGATAGGAAGACAATGAACTAATAAGTTTAGGAAGGTGGTATGTGTTACGAACTCTCTTCTTCATTTCTTTTATTCTCTTTTAGTACTTTAGACGCTCATTCCCTTTTAGGTATGTTAAGCGCCTTAAGCGCTTACACAAGCGTTTGTATTATTCTTTTATCTTTTCCTTTTCTTTTATTTATAAACATGCGACAGCCTTGCTGTTCCCATGCTATCATTAATTGTCAACGCGACTCTCTCGTGTCTGTCGAGGCATTGACAGATCTAGGCCGTCTACATACATTCTTTTATATTACCTCATTGTTTCATCGTTGTATACAGACAGCTTTACTTATGGATACGGGTGACTCCTATTGTATAGCCTCACAGTTACGGTGCGAGATAGTTCCCATGGGTTCATCTCCAGATATGTATATAAGACAGAGTATTTTGTAGAATAGTCTCTATCTCTGATCTCGTCTATTCTCCTCGGTAGTTAGACAAGTATCTGAGGACTCATTCCTCCTGCACTATTCATCGTCTTTTATCTGTTTCTATCTGTGTGACGCCTGGTTCAACATTGAGCTATCGAGTCGCTGACAGTATGGGGTATAGCACCGTCCAAAGGGAGTGTCAATGGGATAAGGAGGATGGTTGGATAGAGATCACGGAAGCAAACTACCTTGATCCATATCATCGATACGTCACATTGATGATGGTCTTGACAATGTGAGTTTGGTGCAAAGTGTTCCGTGCAATGTGTATGATCAGTGCACATGATCATAACATCATCTCATCTCATGTGACAGAACAGGGCCTAAGACTTAATTAAGTTTGCTTCACGCTACCTACCAGTAGTGCGGGTGTCAATCAAGAATTTGAAATTTAAAAAAAAACACAAAAAACAAAAAAAAACGAAAAAAACGAAAAAACGAAAGAATAAAAAAACAAGTTATTCCACTCCCTGGCTGGGAGTCGAACCCAGCTTTCGCGCGTCTGACAAATGACAGGCGCGTGTACTAACCGATATACTACCAGGGAATTATCAAAGCACTTGGACATCTAACTTCTGACACAACGACTTCCTCTTCTTAGTGCATCATGTATTCAACTTATGCTATGTAGGTAAACCTGTTGCACTTCCCCCATCTACAAGAACTGGCCGTATTTGTGCAAGTGAAGCTGATTCGGTCGTTGTATCTGCTATTGACCCTGTCAATTTCATCGCATTTGGTGACATTGTACCCGCCCTTGAGTCCATCGAATCCGTCCGTGGTTGCGGTTGCATTTTCACAGTCGACTGCGAGTTGATGCTGCTGTTTGACAATGGTATATGAGTACCGTCAATCAGCCGCACATCGATATTATTTCGGCTTTCCCGTTCAACCTTCTTATGTTTGAGTTCTTCTGCACGAGCTTGAAGAGCTTCAATCTCTGAGGAAAGTTTGTCCTGTAGTTGTGGAGGAATGAAGGAAGCGACGGCGATGGAACAGAGGACGACGAGGGAAGTCAGACGAAAAGTCTGTAGACAAATTTAAGCAATCTATCACAAACAAACTCACAATTTTGTCATCCAAGTCTTTCTTATCAAATATAGCGTAAGGTGAGGTTGTTGGTTTGGAGTTTGGTTGGACACCTGGTTAGAAGATGAGTATCAAGCAAAGACAAAACAAAAGAGGAAAATGAGAATGAGAAAGTAACCTACCAAACGAAGCCTTCACAAAAACCTCATTCATAAGATCATGATTTCGCTTGTATCTCGTGAGAGCAAGCGTGCGCGTCGAGATCGAATCAACTTCATCTCCTGAATCGTCATCATCAAGCAAACTTGGGCCACCTGGTGCACCTGCCGGCCTTCTTCCAGGTGGCACTCCTGCGACAGGAGCGCCCGGCGGAGGGATGCCTCGTCCATGAGGACCAGGAACAGGTTGACCATGGATGCCAGGAGCACTGGAAGGAGGAAGAGGACCACCACGTCCTCCGAGAGAATGAGTCCTCCGAGCTTCCAACATCTCCATGTTGGAATTTTGTTGTGCAAGTAAAGCTTGCGCCTGTTGATTGAAAGCACCGGCTCCGCCAGGCATACCCATATTCCCGCTCATGCCACCGATTGCGCCAGGCATCCCTCCTGCTGCTACTCCCATTGGGCCGCCGCTGCCGCCGCCGCCAATTCCAGGTTGCATATTGACCATACCTCCGGGCATTCCAGCTCCCATTCCGGCAGCTACACTGGGCATGCCTCCACCCATGCCTTGTCCTGGGAAGGCTTTCTGGCCAAGCTTCTCTCCTGCGACGAACATCGGCGGCTCATTCACTTGTCTCAGCGGATACATCCTTACTGGCTGATTAGCTACCGCTGCGGGTATAGGAGGTCCATTCGGCCCTCGAGTATAATGTACAACCCATAATTGGGGCATTGCTCCTGGACCACCCATTCCACCGCTGTGAACTAGTCGATATCTCCTCCTAATCCTGGCAGCCATCGTCTCTCCAGAACCAGGAACAAAACCAAACTTGATTTCACATACTTCCAGTTCTTTCGGTGATCCTTGGTTGATGTTGAACTTGTTTTCTGGCTCGGGCCAGCGGATGCCGTCGGTTGGGAAGGGTGTGTGTGGAGGAAGGAAGATAATGAATGTTTGGCCATCTGTGGAAATATATTTGTTGTCCATGATTTCCGTTGCAATAAAAATATATTGAGAGCTGACCTTGTGCACGATCAATCCACGACCACACAAATGGCATCGTCAATGCCTGCTGCGCTCCCCTCAGTAGTAAGCTAACCGCGCCATCTAGGGTTACTTGGACGTTCATTAAAACATCCGGATACCGCAAAACCAGTCCTTCAGATTGGAGTTGCTGAATTTCAGAGAGCGTGAAGCTAGGATTCGGCATTGTGAGCTAGAGTCTCAATAAGTATCAGCCAGCAGCCAGGGCTAATATTTGTTTGGATGAGGGAAGAACTTGGAGAACAGATCTGGCAGAATGCCGAAATTAACCCTAAAGCTAACCCTAAAGTCTGATTTTCGAATTACGGATTGATCACTTTCGCACTTGGCGAAAAGTCAAAGGCTAGACTACTCCAGCCACTGAGTCACCATATATCGTCTGTACACCATATTTTACTGACACCAAACACCAGATCAAACTCGTCCCAATAGTCTGCAACTTCGAGTACTTCTGCAGACGTTAATCCGAGTCGGAGCCGCGAAATAAAATATAGCACTGGGGCATTGCTGTCAGTAAAGACGAGACCTCCTGTCCATCCTTGTCAACCGCAAAGAATGTTGAAAAGTACGTGTCTCGATATACCGGCCAATCGTCATCCATCAATAAATCGATGTCTGGACCAGCAATCGATACCAGGGCCAGTTGTCACTCATTAAAACAGAGTTTTCTGTTCGGAAAGCGGAGAGGTACCAGTAATGCTTCGAGATAAAGTCGAGTGCACGACCATCGTGGAAATGGGGGTGAAGAAGAAATTCGAATGCGGCGCCGGCACATGAGGAAGAAGTGGTAGCGAAAGCCTCTAAGCAATATGGTGAAAGGTGTTGCGCAATATTAAGAGCAATTTCAGGAGTGATTTTTGAAGGGTTGTGGATGGGATTCTGCGACGCCGATTGGTGATGAATTGCATTATTTGTGAAGAGCTTGTCGTGTAGAGTGTTTTCATACAGGAGCTGTCCAAGGCGAGCCAAGGCAGTGATGCCTGGTGTATCCTGCCTATCAATGTGATCTTAGGGGCAAGAATCTCAGGTAAGATCTTCACTCAAACTTATTCAATTGGGCGCAAATTGACTGGTAAATCGAGTAAATTGTGTGGATCCGCGACGAATTGTACGTTGTAGCCACTGTATGCATCTAGGACGTCGCTGTCTACTTTCACCGGTGGAGGGAGCTTGAAACGATGCTTTTCGGGCGTTCCAACATGGAAGCAGATACGACTGTATGAGTCTTCACCTACACATAATTATGAGAATTTGAATTCATTGACGTCGGAGGGTATTTCATTGGAGAAGTTGACACCAAAATGCATAGGATGAGAGCCGCGACTGTGATGATAAGTGAAGTAAAAGCCATCATAACAGTATACGCTGAAGCCCTCAAATTCCGTAGTGAAAAATAGGATTCTGTGGGCACTAATCACCCGGCGCTTACTATGTGCGCCCTTCGCGCGCCTTACACCATGACTACATTCTTGTACGACCTTTCGACCACCGGCGCAATTTCTTTTTCAGATTTCATAAACGACCCCGATAACTCGTTCACCAGACGGCTCTCAGAGATTACACAGCTGCGCTCTCGACTTCGAGGCTTTCTGAAAGAGAGCAAACGAACAGATGGCGAGAAAGACTATCTTACGATTATCAAGGTGGGACTACTTTATAAACATCTTCAATGCAAGCTAATGCCAGGAAAGATCATAGATGACTACCTTCCTCATCTTCAAGGTGTCATGAACTGCGTGAATGATCATGAGCTCGAGCTCAAATTCGAACCTGGTTCGTCAACAATTCATCACGGTTGTGCTTACCTCAATTGAACCAAAAGTTTTCAGTTGGAGGACCACCCTTTCTGCCAACTTTCTGAACAATTCTCCCCGAATGGCTCTGCAATCTCTTAATGCAGAACACGCTTCCAGTCTTCTCACATATGCTTTCGCGCATTCGAATCTGGCGCGAGCCATCGTAGCCAGTCTTGGACCATATGAGCACGATCGAGCGATATCCCAAGCAGAACGAGAAGCCAAAGAAGAGCAGCTCAAACATGCAACTAATCACTTGAGTCGTGCCTCTGGAATCTTCACTTATCTCAGCGAAACAGTTTTGTCTGAGCTGCAACAATCAGCTTCTGTAAGCAAGTTTAAACTACCACCAGACCTTTTACCAGAAGTCAACACAGCTCTTTCCCGGTATCTACTTACATTGCGTCCTTTTCATTCCTGTACTCAATGTCGGCTTAGGATGACTCTGGCAGACGCGCAAACTCTAGCTATTCGGAAATTGCTCTCCAAGTCCTTCTACGACGGCAACATTGCTCCCGGTCCTCCTTTGCCAAAATCTCATCCTGCTCCCGGTCTCATCGCCAAGTTGCATTTGGAATGTGTTTCTCTATACTCCACCGCGCGCACCCTCGCCAAAACACCATCAGCGTCATCAAAGTCTTCAGAAGACGTCTCCCCAGAACTGCGGCACTATCTTGCCGATGAGACTTCTTTGAATTCTGCCCTCGCCAAGAAGTGGCTCGGGATTGATGCTGGGGAGAACGGTGGACAGAAGAGAGGCGGTGAAGCCGTTGGGTTTCTCATTTGGGCGAAGAAGGAGTTACAGGATATCAAAGATGGCGGCAAAGGAGCCGCACTGGCAAAGGGAGAGAAAGAGAAGAGGGATCGTAATTTAAGGAAAGAAAAAGTTGCCATCGAACTGGAAACGATTGATTCCTGGTTGAAGCATTACCAAAAAGTCAATGATACAGTCAGTTTGTATTCGATTCCTCGCCTCTCCCAATTCTGATTATCATTTTTCTTGACTAGATACACTTCCAACCTGTCCCTTCTCAAGCCGAGTTACAATCCCGCATTCCTACTGGTGTTTCAGCGGTTTTTTCAATCCCTTATGTCCCCCAAAAACCTGCGTTTGGACCAGGTTCAGACGCTCGAAGCCAGAAGGAACAAGCAACGTTAGATCAAGGAGATTCGATGTCAGGTTCGAGCACATATGCCGGAGCGGGAGAATACTATTGAGAATGTTGGGTTATGTATGACGTATGAGGTTCTCTTTAACACACACCCATTCTATACTTACGCTGTTATGCTGATTGCGTACAGTTACGCTTTCTTCCCAGCCGTGTGTAATCATCCCGAGTTGTTCACATCATTCATCGCTCACAGCATCGTGCATGTGTACAAAGTTCCATTCTTTGACATTTACACACCTTATCTGCACGATTTGGTTCTTCCTCTAACCTGTGCCACTCAACATTTGCTGTTGTCGTATGGATAGAATCATGGAACCCAACTTTTTGGCAGATATCATCTGCAT